TTTATTTTTCTTAGACAAATATGTTTGTCTACTCTCTTAAATATTTCGATTGCAATTTATTTATTGTCAACAAATGTTTAGCCAAATCTTAAACCAATATTATTATGTTTATCAATCTTTTAATCGCAGTTTATTTATTATTAATTATTAACACTTTTTAAGCCACATCTCACCACATATTATATGTATTAAAAAATCGTTACATTTTATATTAACTAAGTAACAATTATATTTTCTATTTTATCATATAATAGTTATTATTAAGATTAATATAAAATATAACGGCTTTTGTCTTAATTAACAGAAAATTACATAAACAAAAAAAATTGTATTGTAATTTGTTCAAGTTATTTATTCTAAAATTAATATCATTTTTTTTTCTCTGATTAAGCGATTGTTTTTTAAATAAATTAATTTGTTTTAATGTCATAAAATCTTTTAATTCCCATAAGATATTATTGTAATAAATTTAATATTTTTCGACAAATTAGTTGGTCATATTCTCTCAAATTACAAATATTACATTATTTATTACATTTTATGCAATTAATATAGTGATTCATATGCAATCAAATACTTAAGTATTATTTATTTTAACCAATGATCAAATTTTAAAACATAATACCATTATCTAACCTAAAACTTTAATATTGTATGCATAAATATAACTTATAATATTTTATGTCTAAAATTCAATATTATTATCTAAATTATAATTTTAATATTATATGTATATAAAAAACTTATAATACTTTAATTATATATGTTCAAATGCATGGTCGAATATTAGTTAATGTTAAATATCAAAAATGATTCTAAAGCAATAATTATTATACAAACCATATTTTAAAGTACGAAATTTTGTCATATCACCATCTAAAGCGTGTGAGTCTTCTACTTAGACTTATGACATTTTGAGTTAATCTTTCGAGAATATATGCACCAACTAAAAACAACGTTCATGTTAGACAAACAATAAATATATATTACATCATATTTTTCTTCATGAGAAGACTCATGATATCTTGAATATATTTATAGAAAATGTTTTTTGCGACTCCTTTACAATTTTGTAAAGTGAAAGTGTAAGAATATGTGGCCCGAAAGCATTGGGCTCACATTTAATTATCCTATTGGGTCAGACTTTATTTAATAATCAAACAAATCTAAGCCATTAATCTGGATATTTGATGGACGTACCAGATTTAAAGACACCCCTATATAAATTAGTCATCTCTCCTCTTATTAGGTACGTAGTTTTATACCATCACTTTTCTGCTACGTTAAGAGAAAGTCAGGAGGGAGAAACTGATTTAGATCTACTAATCGATTCAACTCCGTGATCATCAAGATCAAGATTGCAAATTATGTCGTCTTCCGCATCAAGTAAGTGTTTCGTATACACCAAATTATTTATTCAAGATCCATGATGAAGTTTACATGTGGTATCAGAGCATGTGTTGTGAATAAATAATTTGTTTATGAATTTTACAAGCATATTTTATTTATAATTAATGATGAACTGCATAAATTGATCGCATGAATTTTATGGGATTACGAATTCAATATCAATATCCAATTTGAATGTTGGTTTCGGAAATATTTAATTCTTTGGTCGCGCGTTTTTCCGAAATAATTCCCACTGTGTATGAATTGAAATATATGTATTGTTGTTGTACGAGACATCATGTATATATATATATATATATATATATAGAGAGAGAGAGAGAGAGAGAGAGAGAAGGGATCATATGAGAATGATTCCTAGTGAAAGAAATAAAAATGAATGTATGCCTTTAGATGTAGCAAATAAGTGGTCATGATGAAGTCAAACTTTAATAATTTAGTCAAATATATAATGGCATTATGGTAATATTTAAACACAAAGTGGTCAAATATATGCAATTGACCAACTATTAAGGATATAATGGTCATTAAACAATTACCAAACCTAACCAGGTGGACCCCACCCCAACCCAACACATATCTCTCTCACTCCAACACAATAAACACACACTACAATTCATACACACACCCGTCGCACACACACACTCACGCGCGGCCGGTAATTCGGTAACAGCCCATCACCACCAGCCCGCCGACTCACATTCGTCGTCTGCCACTACAAGACCGCCGTCGGCCACAGCGAT